CTTAAGAGATCTCAGTATGATTGGTAAGGTATATTAACGTTGTACCGCTGCATTACAACGGATCGAAGACTAAACATGATATGTTAAAAATTTCGTCTTTGTTTTTTAATTATTTTCTTCTCTTTTCATTCAACCAAATGACAACATGCACGTATATAAGAGTAGATTTGCATGCGGCTTATTAGTTTGTAACTTAATGAAATAAGAAGGTTGTTGGCTGATATCTCAAATTCTCAATCTCAGTCTCGTGTATTTATGATATTTTCACCAATTATATCAATGCTGGTAAAAGTATCTTTTTTTTTATGGAAATAAATGCGAGAATCCACCACATCCAAAAAAAAAAGCGAGTATCCACATCCAAAGGAAATGCGTGTCAAAATTTTACTCTCCACGTGGCAAGATCTTCCCGATTCTACAACCTAATCATAGAAAGTACAAACCAACAAAAAAAAGAAAAAGTTTGAACGTACAAACGAGCAAAGGAGATTGGGCCATGTGTCCATGAGGTTGGAGCACAGTCCTCGCTTACGAGATTGATTATACATATAACTCGAACGAAAGTTGCAGCCTTATGTGTCCATCTTTAATCGCACCGCAACAGTAAGCCACTCCTTGCTCTCCCATTGGTCCTCACTTCTCTCGTCCCGAGAGTCTTCGTGGGACCCTCATAAACGCCACGTCTCTCTCCTTTTGCCCAATCCCGTCGTTGCGCTGTTCAATCGTTTGGTCTCGCACGTGGCTCTTTCTCCAAACGTGTCGACGCAACAGTTTTACTTTTAAATGGTATTTCAGCATCTTCTCCAACGAAACAAAAGCAACAACTCTGTTTGTTATCGAAAAGTGAGAATCTGCAGAAGATCCGTCAAGAGTGATGAATTTCCAGGGAGGTTGCTGTATAACGCGATACGGAGACGGCAGTGATATGTCGAAGGTCGACAGGATTATGCTCCGGTACCGTCCGATTGCACCGAGACCAGATTCCGGTGGATCTTCTTCACCGCCGCCGGCGGATTCCGTTTCATCGAAATCACGGAGGGGTAAGAGAAAATATTCAAAGGAGAAGAGTAGCAGCAGCGGATCTGTCGGTAGTAACGGCAACAGCAAACGGTGCAATAGACGGAGAAACGAAGACCCTAAGAACGGATCTGGGGTCGGCGAGAGAGTGACGTTGTCTCTTCTTCCGGAGACTTCTGAGAGGAAGGAGTACTCGCCACCGTCGTCGCACGCTAGGGTTTTGGCGCCGGCTCCGGGGTTAAGTTTCAGAGATAACGGACGTCATAAGACGGCGACGAAGAGTTCGGATCTGATAACGGAAAGCGTTGTGACGTCGTTGTTGACGGTAGAGTGCGTAACGGAGAGATGTGTGGAGGAGGGAGAGTATGAGCTAGGGTGTACGGACGAAGAGAGGAAGATGAATCTGGAGAGAGACACGTGTCCTGGTTTTATATCGGACGGTTTAGGGAGAGTGGTTTGGACGAACGCGTCGTACAGAGAGTTGGTGATTGGCGGAGAGGAGAAGACGAGTAAGATGAGTGTGTGGCTGGTGATGAAGGAAAGGCCTTTGCTAACGCACCGGACGTTCACCTGCAGAATCAGACTGCAGTACACGTGTCGTTCCATTACTTCGCCATGTGACGTTTGGAAGATGAAGGACGGTGGTTTTGCGTGGCGGCTCGATGTTAACGCTGCACTGTGCCTCGGACGGTGAATTCTAGCCGTTGGATCTCCACCCTTAGATTAACCCGACCAGTGAAAAGGCTTACCCAATTCGAGATCTTCACTTACAAGTTTAAGGAGTGAACATATTTTGGTAGTTTTTGATTTCTATTTGCTCTTTTGCAGTTTTGCTGGCTTTTTTCTTCTCTTGTTTGGTGTGAATACTCTTTGTTACTCTTTGCTGGTTATCTTTCTTTTTTCTTTGTTTTGTAGGCTTACTTAATCACAATGTGTTTATGTGCATGCATAGATTGGCCAACTTTTTAAAGGAAGTGAACTCCAAATAGATTTATAAGTGGTAAATTGAGCTTTCAAATTTGATATGAGAGAGAGTAGGAATTTTAAGTGTATGAAGTCCATTTTTCAAAAAAAGTTGATGGGGAAAATTTCGGATTTCGGATTTCTCTAATGCAAACATGAAGCAAAAAGAGTGGCACAAAAACGAAGACCGAAAAAGAATCAACAATAAATACATTAATAAAAGTAAATCATATTTTTCTATCTAAAGTTTCTATATTTCAGATGTTATAAAATTTAAAAGTGTTTTCATATTATCTAACACAACAAATTTAAATAAAAACGAAGTAATGATAAAATGAAAAACTAACCAAAAAAGT